TGTATCTCCCTCTTCATAATTATTGTATCTTTGAGTCTTTATTTTCCTGACTTTATGTTCTTTTGAAATTGTTTTTAAATTTTTTATAGTTTAGAACACTTTCAGGAAATTGTCTGTTTCTTGAATTGTGTTTTCTTTCAGACAGAGTTCTTCTTATCTGCTGAATGCTCTTTTTCCCTTCCCTCTGTTTTTCCTTTCTTTTCTTTTTTCTTTCTTTCTTTTTTTTTGATATTATTTATTTTTGCTTCACATTATCATCTAGCGGTTTGCTTTTTCCCATGATGTTTATGCTTAATGCAGACAGTTCTGTCCATGCTTTCAATCTGTCCATACTCTATCTGTGCTTGGAAATAAAGACAGGTGACATCTCCTTAGCACCTTCCTAAGTCATCTCAGAATGTCATTTTCCCCTCCGAGCTAAATTTGATAGCTAATTATTTGTTCCAGTGTTTTACAGCTTAAGGGCTCCTGGTGATGGAAAGGAGAGAGTCTTGCTTCTGAGGTTTTGTTCAACTTCCTGTCCTAGGGTTCATTTCATATAGTCAGAGATGGATCCCACTGCTATGGAGGGATATTTTGGCCACTGCAATGGTCCCCAAATTTATTATTGAGCTTGGGAGGCTTCACTGTTAAAGAAAAGATCTAGTTCTTCATTTCCTTCATTGCACCTATCTTTCCCCATCAGCCATTTCAACTGTCTCCTCATCAGAAAACAGAAAACTCAGTTATTTATGGTTTTTTTTTTTTTCTTCAAACTTTGGGGTTATTAATGAAAATTCTGAGGATTTCATTGACTTAGCAACAAGGCTTCTGGGTGATGAGAGTCTACTCGCCTTACCTTGCCACTCCAAAATCTCCTGTTTGTTTTTTTGACTGCTACTTTATTTATGTTTTCATCTTTTCCCTTTATTCAAAAATTACAAAGCCTTTTGTTGGTCGTTTCAATGAGTAGAGAGTATTTTAAGGCTAATCCACCCTACCTGTAATATAGGCCTAAATCACTTTATTATATCATGATTCCTTTTGTTTGTTTGTTATTTTTATTTTATTATTCTTTTCTTTCCAACCTTTGTTTTCACTTCAGGGAATTCACGTGCAGGTTTGTTACATGAATAAACTGCATGTCGCAGGGGTTTGGCGTACAGGTTATTTCGCCATCCAGGTAATGAGCATAGTAGGCAACAGGTATTTTTTGGATCCTCACCCTCCACCCACCCTCCACACTAAAGTAGGCCCCTGTATTAGTACATTCTCATGCTGCTAATAAAGGCATACCTGAGACTAGGTCATTTATAAAAGAAAGAGGTTTAATGGACTGTCAGTTCCACATGGCTGGGGAAGTCTCATAATCATGGCAGAAGGCAAAGGAAGATCAAAAGGACTTCTTACATGGTGGTAGACAAGACAACTTGTGCAGTGAAACTCCCATTTATAAAAACACCAAGGCTAGGTGTGGTGGCGCACGCCTGTAATCACAACACTTTGGGAGGCCGAGGTGGGTGGGTCACTTGAGGTCACGGGTTCGAGACTAGCCTGGCCAACATGGCAAAACCCCGTCTCTACTAAAAATACAAAAAATTAGCTGGGAGTGGTGGCACGCAGCTGTAATCCCCACTACTCGGGGATTGAGACAGGAGAATTACTTGAACACAGAAGGTGGAGACTGCAGTGAGCCGAGATTGCACCACTGCATTCCAGCCTGGGTAATAGAGTGAGACTCCGTCTCAAAAACAAACAAACAAATATAATATAAACAACAACAAAAAAACCCATCAGATCTCGAGATTTATTCATTACCACGCGAACAGTATGGGGAAAACTGCCCCATGATTCAATTTTCTCCACCTGGCCCTGCCCTTGACATGTGGGGATTATTACAATTCAAGGTGAAATTTGGGTGGGGACACAGTTAAGCCATATCAGTCCCAGGGTCTCTTGTTGCCTGTTTACTTTTTGGTTTTTTGACACAGAGTTTTGCTCTTGTCACCCAGGCTGGAGTGCAGCGGCACGATCTTGGCTCACTGCAACATCTGCCTCTTGGTTTCAAGAGATTCTCCTGCCTCAGCCTCCTGAGTAGCTGGGATTATAGGCATGCACCACCATGCCTGGCTGATTTTTGTATTTTTAGTAGGGATGGGGTTTCACCATGTTGGCCAGGCTGGTCTCGAGCTCCTGACCTCAAGTGATCCGCCTGCATCGGCCTCCCAAAGTGCTGAGATTACAGTCATGAGCCACAACGGTGGGCCTGTTGTTCCCTTCTTGATGTTCATGTGTTCACAATGTTTAGCTCCCTTTCAGAAGAGAGAACATGTGGTACTGGTTTTCTGTTCCAGCATTAATTTGCTTAGGATGCCACTTAAAAACATTTATGGAGTTAGGGTTTCTTTTTCCTTGTCTGGCTACTTCTTTTTGCTGTTTTTTTTTTTTTTTAATTATTTTCCTTAATATGAAGAAAAGGAGATTCTGTGCTTCGGTTTCACTCCACCAGCTTTACCAATTTATAATCTTTACAGTTTCCATTTCCTACCTGGTCCTTGGCAAATGAAAGCTAGTCTAACTCCAAGCACATGGGTTGAAGTATCTTCTGAAATACTTAAACGTGATGATTCAGGTGCTCTAAAAAAATTACATAACTAGCTTTCCCTAGAAGAGGAAGCCCTAAGGACTCAAAGTGTCTTCTGGCATCAATGTAGGTTCCTTTCTTTTTTAGCATAAAATATTAATCCTAATGTACTAACCTGCAAGTTGAATAAAATATATCCCCCATAAGGTTGTCAGAAAATGCAGAGTGCCCACTAAAATTTGAATTATAGATACAGTATAATGAATTATTTTTTTGTTTTTTTGTGTGTGATGGAGTCTTTCTCTGTCGCCCAAGCTGGAGTGCAGTGGCGCGATCTCGGCTCACTGCAAGCTCTGGTTCCCGGGTTCACACCATTCTCCTGCCTCAGCCTCTCAAGTAGCTGGGACTACAGGCATCCGCCACCACACCCGGCTAATTTTTTGTATGTTTTAGTAGAGACAGGGTTTCAGCATGTTAGCCAGGATGGTCTCAATCTCCTGACCTCGTGATCCATTCGCCTTGGCCTCCCAAAGTGCTGGGATTACAAGCGTGAGCCACCGCACCAGACCTATGAATTGTTTTTTTAAAGTATAAGTAGGTCCCATGCAATATTTGGGTCATGCTTTTACTACACAATGGTTTGCTATTTATCTGAAATTCAAATTTAACTGGGTTTCCTGTCTGGTTTTTCCTTCCCAAACCTGGCAGCCCTACTCTATCACCACCATCTTATGAGAATGTTTTCTGGGTCTATTGGATACCTCTCCTTCAGTATTTTCCTGATATCACTGATATCCTCATCTCTGTTACTAGTGGATTCATTGCTATGTCCTTTCCTTAGCCAATCCTATAGTATGACTTAACTCTTAAGTTTTAGATAATAAATATTGGCAGATGGTAGAACATTGTACAGTAAGTAACATTTATTACTAATTATTTAGCATTCAGCCAAAGAGCAGTAATAAAGGATATAAGATAGTCTTTGAGTGACCAAAATAGATGTCATAAATTCCATGCCCAAAATGCTCATTTTCTTTCTTCATAGATGCTCGTATCAGGCTTTTGCTCAAAATATTTTAACTCCTAAATACTGACTATGTAGCAGACCACGGCAGAACAGAAATAGCAGATCAGGGGAACTGCTTGAGTTTAGGAACAAGGACAACAGGTGCATATCACAGCAGGACAAGGGAAGGAGACAGGAGAATGAGAAACAGACCCTAGGAAGTTGTGGAACCACTGGGTGCAGAGTACATAGCTCTGGCCATTTATGTGATCTCTGAAGGCACCACTGTGGCAACATTCCGTGGCATGGAGCCATAAGCTGGCATTCAGCTGGAGGGTGTATTGGGACAATATTGGTATTAGTAACAGATACCTGAATCAATTCACTAAAGCACAGGGAATGTATCGATTCATGTAATTTAAACCCAGGTTAGGTGACTTCATGAACTGTTAAATTCAGGTGCTCAAACAGGGTTGTTTGTAATCTCTCTCTCTCTTTTATCTCTATCTCTTTATCTATCTGGTCCACTTTGCTCTGTGTTGTATTTCTTTCTAGGCAGGTTCTTCCTTTATGATGGCAAGATTGGCTAGTAGTAGTTCAAGATGCATATATATATATGTATATGTATGTGTATATATGTGTATGTATATATTTTAAGAAGGAGTTTCACTCTTGTTGCCTAGGCTGAAGTGCAATGGTGCGATCTCAGCTCACTGCAACCTCCACTTCCCAGGTTCAAGCGATTCTCCTGCCTCAGCCTCTTGAGTAGCTGGGATTACAGGCACCCGCTACCATGCCTGGCTAATTTTTGTATTTTTAGTAGAGACAGGTTTTCACCATGTTGGCCAGGGTGGTCTCAAACTCCTGACCTCAAGTGATCCTCCTGCTTCGACATCCCAAAGTGCTGGGATTACAGATGTGAGCCACCACACCCTAATGTATGTTTTTAGTGCCTAGAATTACCTAACAGGCAGGTAGTAGACATCCATTAATATTTGTTATATGAATGAATGACTACAAGTAGGATGGGCCCTGAACAATTTGTGATAAAGAGGATGCACTTTGTTTCAGCATATTGCTAGGGTTTTTGTTTGCTGGTTGAAACAGTAACCCCACTGGAGAGAGAAAAAGCAGGGAGTGAGACAGAGTAGGGGATGGAGAGCTTTTCTCACTCTCAGGAGTGGCAGGAGAGTTCTGGGTTGGCTGTGATTGTTTTACCCTCGTATTTACCTCTGTCATCTAGATCAGAGGCTGGAGTCACTTTCTGGAGCCTTTGAGCTCTGACAGTATGGAAATCACCAAGTGAGCTAAAGATACTCAGTAACACTCTCGTGCCTTTGGAACTTCTGTTCTGTTATTACTCTCTGGGATTGGTTTAATAATTTGTGCTGTCATCAAAATTTCCAAAGTAATTGCTAATTTTTCTTTCAGGCTCAGGCTGCATGAAGAAAAGGTTATTAAAGATAGACGTCATCATCTCAAGACCTACCCAAACTGTTTCGTCGCAAAAGAACTGATTGACTGGCTGATTGAACACAAAGAGGCTTCCGACAGAGAGACGGCAATTAAACTCATGCAGAAATTAGCAGACCGGGGCATTATTCACCATGGTAAGTGAGGTGGTGAGTCAAGGTGACTTGAGAGAAAATGAAGGACTATATCTTTTCATGAACATACCCACTTAAGAAAGAAAACATTTTGCTTTATTTTATCTCTACTGTATCTCTCCCTGATTTCATTTTCTTCCTCTAAGAGGCATTTTGGTTATTTCTTTTTTTCTTGTATTTTCAGTAGAGGCTGGGTTTTACCCTGTTGGTCAGGCTGGTCTCGAACTCCTGACTTCAGGTGATCTGCCCACCTCAGCCTCCCAAAGTGCTGGAATTACAGGTGTGAGTCACTGTGCCCAACTAGCATTTCGGTTATTTCTATGTACTGCTTTATACCTCTTTCTCTATTCATCTTTAAGGAATGCATCATGTTGTCTTAAAAGTTTTCTCTCATTATAGAAGTGCATATTTATCCTTTTGCAACTTGATCAACACACTGTGAGCTTCATCCACGTTGATAGTATATGTCTTATTTGTTATTTTTCTGTTGTATAATACATGTGTATAATTATGCCACTATATATTTTTCAGTGGGCATTTATGTGGTTTCCAAGTTTTTGCCGTTACTCTCAGTGGGTTCAATAAAGATTCACCAACATGTCTTCTTGAAATCTCTCATCCTGGCCTCGACTTTCGCACATGTCGTCGTTCTCTTGGAATGCCCTTTCCCCTCACGTTTTGCCCAATTTCTCTTTGTTCTTCAGGTCTCCACTTACGTGCAAACTCTTCAGGGAAGCTTTCTTTTTCCAAAGCTGGGTCACTGTGTTCCTGGGGCACTGGGCACTCTTCCTTTAGGCTCCCATTGCACTCTGTCCTTACCTCTGTAGCCTTATCATATCATATTTCAATTATAGTTGACATTTTTCCTTACCTCACTAGATTTCACATTCTTTGAGGCTGATGCATGCCCCAATATGCTTTAGAAGAGTTTGTGGATTGCTTCATGAATTGAATTATGTGAACTTCCTAAAGATGATGATGATGATGATGATTATGGTGATGGTGATGGTGATAATAATAGCTAAAAATACTGAGGACTTACTCTGTACCAAGTGCTATGTAACTATTTTACATGTATTAGCTCATATGGTAGATACTTGCATGCATGAAGAATTTGGTGGTGAAATAATTCTTAATTAGCATCATACTTCACTTGAGTAATTAAATAAGAGGGATTTTTTTTCTCATTTGCTTCTCTGTGCATATTGTGTTTCAGTGTGTGATGAGCATAAAGAATTCAAGGATGTCAAACTCTTCTACCGCTTTAGAAAGGATGACGGCACCTTCCCATTGGATAACGAAGTGAAGGCCTTTATGAGGGGACAGCGGCTGTATGAAAAGTATGTTCCACATGAAATCCCCACTGTAATCTTGACTGGTAGAGAGAAGCAGAACTGTGCCAGTCTCATTATGTTGATTTCAGCATGGCTCTTCCATGTGGGCTGGTTACATAATTGTTCTTTTCCATATGAGAAAACTATCACCCATTTGCTTTCTCTTTGCCAGAAAATAAGTCAATTTCATAAGATTCTTATTAAAGAATTTATTTAAATCTTATTTTCTATATTTAAGTCAATTCTACAAAGCTCCAGAATTTTTGTTTACCATCAAATGATGTGGATGCCCCTTTTCCTTTCTTATTTTTATTTATTTTTTGGCACTGAGTCTCACTCTGTTGCCCAGGCGGAAGTGCAGTGGCATGATCTCGGCTCACTGCAACCTCTGCCTTCTGGATTCGAGTGATTCTCGTGCCTCAGCTCCTGAGTAGCTGGGAATACAGGCGTGAGCCACCACACCTGGCTAATTTATGTATTTGTAGTAGAGACAGGGTTTCCCCATGTTGGCCAGGCTTTTCTCAAATTCCTGACCTCAGGTGATCTACCCACTTCAGCCTCCCAAAGTGCTAGCATTGCAGGTGTGAGCCACCATGCCTGGCCCCCTTTTTTCTTTTAAATACTGTTGTTGTGTAAATTGGAGGTTCAGGCTTATAAGTGACTGGAGAAGCAGCATCAAGAGCAGGGGAATTGGTCAGACCAGGAGACCAGTAGTGGGAGAACTTCAGATAGCCGGATGTCTATGAGGAATAAGCTTTCAGCTCGTTCAAGAGATAAGTACAGTGTAGCACAGGAGTATTTGGTTGATGGGTCTCGAATCTTCTGAGTGGGCATCTCTGGGTTTATCTGCTACTTCTGTGGCCTCTTTACCATCCTGCCTTCCTCATTTAGTTTTCCAGGGCAACCATTAGAAAAAGGGGTGCAGAAGCAATGGTACCTCCTTTGTAACCCTGGCTGCCTTACAAGACTTGAGGGAATTGAAAAACACATATTTATCGGCCAGGCGCCGTGGTTTATGCCTGTAATCCTAGCACTTTGGGAGGCCGAGGTGGGTGGATCACTTGAGGTCAGGGGTTCAAGACCAGCCTGGCCAACATGGTGAAAGCCTGTCTCCACTAAAAATATAAAAACTAGCCCGCCATGGTGGTGAGTGCCTGTAATCCCAGCTACTCGGTAGGCTGAGGTAGGAGAATCGCTTGAACCTAGGAGGCAGAGGCTGCAGTGAGCCGGGATCACATCACTGCACTCCAACCTGGGTGACAGAGTGAGACACCATCTCAAAACTAAAACAAAAACAAAACATATTTGTCACATAAAATAGCCTGTTCTATAATGGGTGGGGGTAAGGGTCTGGGTGGGTGTCTGAGTGATCAGATTAATTGGCATGACGGTTAAAAGCCAGACAGAGTTTGAAGTGTAGCCCTGTCACCTTACCTTTGTAAAGCTCAGTGTCCTCTTTAGTGACATGACAGCAGCAATAGAACTCACCTCCTAGTGCTGTTGTGGGAATTAAAAGGCTTAAGTATTTAGCTCAGGATCTCTGGTGTATAGTAAGACCTCACAGAGGATAGCCATTCCAGATATGAGTACAGTACTGATGGCCACCCTCGACTGTGTCCTTCCTGTGTTATGCACTCTGTCCCAGTTCTTGTCTCCGTTTCTTGGGGTAGTATGGTCACCACTTGATGTCCTAATTTGTACTCAGTCTACTATCACTTGCTTTCTATATTGAAATGGAGAAACTCTCTCATCTTTCTGACTCACATGAATTTGAATGGAAGGGATCCATCAGTACCTCCACTTGTTTACTTGAGTGTGTGCATTTGTTTTGTTGCTTTCTTTTAATTTCTTAGTTCCATTTGTAGAATTCTAGCAGGTGTTGGGTATTTCAGTTACGATGATGTTCCTTTCAAACAATGATTCTATGTTGGCCAAAACATGCATGTCATCTCCATGGATGAAGGCCAATGGATTCTGTAACACTTTTCCTTTTTTTAAATTAAAAAAGATTAACAATATTATTATTATTATTATTATTTATAAAGACAGGATCTTGCTCTGTCTCCCAGGCTGGAGTGCAGTGGCATTATCATAGCTCACTGTAACCTTCAATTTCTGGGCTTAAGTGATCCTCCTGCCTCAGCCTCCCAAGTAGCTAGGAGTACCGACTTATGCTACCACGTCCAGCTATTTTTTTTTTTTTTAACTTTTTGTAGAGACAGGATCTCATTATGTTGTTCAGGCTCATATCAAACTCCTGTCCTCAAGTGATTCTCTTACCTTGGCCTCTCAAAGCATTGGGACTAAGCTGTGAGCCACTGTACCTATAACACTTTTCTCTAGCTACAGCTTATCTCTTGGGATCCGCATAACCACACTGTGGGGCAGGGATCAGCTATAATTGAAAATGTCTGGCAGAGAACTGTTATTGCTTAATGGGATAGTTATGATGGCAAGATAATAATAAGAAAAGTTAAAGTTGCTCACACCTTCTGGAAAGCAGACTTACTCCAGCCTCATATTCCGTTGCATCTCCTTCCACCCTGTGGACCAGTCACACAGCACTGTGTATCTCTGAGCATGTTCTTTCCTTTCAGGAGATGCACTAATGCATTAATTATTCAACAAATCTATATTGAGCCCTTTCCACTTGCTAGGCACAGCTAAAGATGCTAGAAATGCCTGTAGCAAAGCCCCTGCCTTCATGAGCTTGCACTTCAGTTAAAGAGGCAGACATTAAAGGCACAGACACATGAAGATGTGATATAGTATAACACGGGTGTCATTGGTGCTAGAAAGAAAAATAGATTTACTGAGGATGGTGGGGTACTTTAAATAGGGGGATCGGGGAAAATGTTTTTGAAGAGATGACATATGAATAAAGGAAGACTTGCAGATATCTGGTGGAAGAACATCCCAGGCAAAGGGAATGGTAAGGATAAAGGCTTTGAGAAGGGAACGTGCTGGACATATTTAAGGGCAGTAATGAGACCAGAGTGTCCAGAAGGCAGAAGAAAAGAGGAGAGTAGTAGGAGATGAGGCAAGGCCAGTTCATAATAGGGCCCTTAAAACCATGGTAAGAATTGATGATTTTAAATGTAATGGGAGCCCGCTGGAGAGGAGGAAGTGAGGAAGTGGCAATCTGATATACTTTTTGCATGTGCTGCTCTCTCTGCCTAGAGGACTCATGCCACTCTCACCCCTTTCCCTAAATCACTGACTCCTGTGGCTTCACATTAATTGTGAAGGTAGCTTGAGTAATGTGTGGTGGCTCATGCCTGTAATCCCAGCTCCTTGGGAGGTCGAGGTGGGCAGATCACCAGAGGTCAGGAGTTTGAGATCAGCCTGGCCGACGTGGGAAACCCCATCAATATGAAAAATATAAACATTAGCTGGGTGTGGTGGTGGGCACCTGTAATCCCAGCTACTCGGGAGGCTGAGGCAGGAGAATTGCTTGAACCTGGGAGGCGGAGGTTGCAGTGAGCCGAGATCACACCACTGAACTCCAGCCTGGGTGACAGAACAAGACTCCATATCAAAAACAAAACGAAACAAAAAACCCACAAAAAACAAAACAATGTTTATTGTTTGTAAGTTAAGCTTCTTAAAGCACTTCCTTTAGATTATTTTATCTAAGCTTCTTTTTAAAATAGATGGAGCATTACTTTACTGGCCCATTTTCAGAGAGAGCATCTGGGATCCAATGCATTTAAGTAATTTATATGTGATGTTGACACAGTTTGCGAGGAACAGGGGTGAGACAAGAACCTGGGGTGGCAGGTGTTGGGGTTGCTGCTATCTCAGCAGCTCTGAGGGGGCGGGCATATTGTCAGTATTTCTTTTTGGCTCTTTTCTTGCTTGTTTGTTCTGTGTTATAAATAGGACTTTGTGAAACTTTGTGGTTTCTGACTGAGGTTTTGCTGAACCATGTTGATTTTGGGGAACTCTGGCTTTCTGGGTTTTTTTTGTTTGTTTGTTTTTATTTATAAGAGTCTCACTCTGTCGCCCAGGTTGAAGTACAGTGGCATGATCTCGGCTTACTGCAACCTCTGCCTCCTGAGTTCAAGCGATTCTCGTGCCTCTGCCTCCCAAGTAGCTGGGACTAGAGGTGTATGCCACCACACCTAGCTATTTTTTTGTATTTTTAATAGAGATGGGGTTTCAACCTGTTGGCTAGGCTGATCTCAAACTCATGGCCTCAAGTGATCTGTCTGCCTCGGCCTCCCAAAGTGCTGGGATTACAGGCGTGGGCCAGTGTGCTCAGCCTGGGTACCCTGGCTTTCTAACCCATAGCAGTGTTTCTCAGACTGCTCATTGGTGGGATAAACCCAAGTCTGAAAACTACAATTTCAGTAACTCTGCTGGCTCTTAGTATGTATGTCACTCTAGTTACTTTACTTGAGACATGCTGGAACAAACACTAATGAAGAAGCCAGAAGCTGGCCCTTTGAAGTTGTCCCAGTGTGAGTGAGGAAAGCTTTAGAGGAACTGGAGGCATGGATCATCCTGCATAGTGAGTGACAATGGCTGTAGGCTCTGGAGTCACACAGCCTGGGTCTTCCATCGCAGCTTCACAACTTGCTTGCTTTGTGACCTTCAGCAGGCTGCCTAAATCTCTCTGATCTGCAGTCTACCATGGAGATAAGGCTGGGACCCACTGCTGGAAAACGCTGTAGCGGGGACTGATTGAGGTCCATCTGTACAGTGCTGAGCACACTGCTTGACGTGGACTGAGAGCCTAGGGAATGTTAGCTGTTGTTATTAGAGTAGTAAATAATAATATCAATACGTGACACCTATTCTTCTTGTTTTCTCATATTATTTTAGGATGCAGCCTTGCATAGCACATAAGAGCCCAGGAGCCCAGCTACCTGGGTGTGAATCTTGGCTCCATGCCTTGGGGCAAGTGGCTTTATCTCTATGTCTCCATTTGCCTATCTAGTAAATGGAGATACTGGCTATGCTGACCTCATAGACGTGTTGTGGGGGTAAAATGGACTAATGGA